CTATTTATGTCCCCACTGCTGGGGCACAGGCCTTCCCAATGAATGGAATACGGAGATTGGGCCATGACCCACCACGCGGGCCCAGTGCGGATTGGTGGGTGTTAACGACTGCAGATGCAGCCGGGAGCAACGGCTTAACGTGCCTTCCGAAGCACGGAAGAGCTCGAGATAGTAAATTTTTGGTCACCCATCCAATGACCGACCACTGCGAAAGTTGCTTAACTTCAACGATCGCAGCCGAACGCGCTAACTGCACTAACAAAAACTATAGTCTTCGCCAAAATGAAGCGGGGGGGATCACTAGTATTAAGTAAACGACTAATTTCTTTCCTTTATCCGCCAATATAATAATAATATACATATAGTAATTTCTTATTTGTTCATGATCCTGTTTAATGTATTTTGTGCTATTATAATCTGCTACGAGTATATCGCACAAGACAAGAAAATCCCATAATTTCACTCTGGATCCTGAGATATTCAAAAACGAAAAGATTTTCTTTTCTCGTCTTAACCGTTTTAAATTGTACTAAGAATTTGTACTAAATTGTGTTAGCGAATATTAATAATTTTTTACACACTTCAACTTGTATATTTTTCTCTTGGTAGTCTAAAATAAATTTAAATTCCTAATTTTCACGACGAACTGTACGCAATGCAATTTTTTTCGCAAGCTCGCTTCATGTGTAAGCAAGGCCTAAATTAACCAAACGCGTGTCAAAAAAACGTTCAATGACTGTCTTAAAAAAGCTGTTAAATGATGCTTATTCACGCGTACACATATAAATTTGCAAAGTGTTATCATCGATTACTTAATAGTTACTTCACAAGTATTATTTGATTACAAAGTTCAACAGATCAATAATTCGGCCTTCCCTTTCAACAATGTTATTGCATAATTTGTGGTCGAGTAATAGCTGAGAGATGTGGTTGAGGTTAGAAACCTCTTGAATTAAATTCATTATTTTTCTAGTAAATAAGCAAATGGCCAATAAGGCGAAAGTTTGTTAGTGTGTATGTTGGTTACTTCTTCACGTCTAAACGGCTGGAGTGATTTTAATAAAATTTGGTATAGAGTTAGCTGACACCCTGGATTAACACATGGTCTACGTTTTACTGCGGGAAAATATCCCTAATAAACCGCGGGTACAGCTGCGAGGGAATCGCGCTAGTGACGTGTGGCGGCGTTTTGTATCGGCGGCGCATTAAGTGGCCGATGCGGGTCACAAGAAGCAAGCAACGACGATTTGTAGCGTGTGGTGGCCACCGGCGTACCGTGTGTGGCAAGTCCATATAAAATGTATGAAAACTACAAGAAATAAGCCCGTGGCGGCGTTTTGTGGTTGTGGTCGGGGGCCCGTGTGCGGCGACACTTACTGCCAACGGCGAGCAGCTACGTTTTATAAATAATAATTTACATATAATTGACAACCAATATAAAGAAGACAATCTTAAAAACTTAAACTGCTTATAAAACGATTGTGATTAGATTATTAAATATTTGATAAAAAGTGAGTAAATAAGAATATATACAACAAGTATAGGAAAACTGCGTTTGATTAAGAGTTCTCCTAACTCTGATGCTACGCTGTCCAATAATCTCTATAGTAGGAAAATTACCACAGTACCTGAAAGGCGAAAGTTCTGGAAGGCGCAAGCGAATGTAATTTTTTCTAGTAAAAATTTCTTTAGATTTATAAATATTGCAGCCCCCAGCATATTTATTAAGTGTAAAGGTGTTTTTACAGAAAATAACCATTAAAGCATTTCGTTCTATCACGACTCAGCTTAATACATATAATAATAATTAATGATTGACATCAAATCTCCCATAATTTATCATTCTCCGTCATCTCAACACCATCTCCATCCATTTCCATATATAATTCGTAACATAATAAGTACAAACCACAACAAAAAATATAATTTCCTTATTTTTCTTTTCCTCTTCGTTAAACAATTTGCATACTAACAAGATCGAATAACGGAAAGCAGATATGATACCATCTTACATCTGTAGTTAGTTACGCAAACCGTTTTTAGTGTTTTTGTTTTATCATCTTCAGAATGTAAGGTTAACGGCGATATTCAAGGCACAGAGCTAGCTTATCTAATACAGACATTACAGACAACTGTGGCTTCCTTATAATTTGATAGTTTTATAGAGTAAAGGGAGATTTTTTAGCACAATAACATAATTAATTTGTAATTATCTTAGGTACTTTACGCGATTTTCAATTTTATAAACATTGACTGACTATTATAAGAAATAACCATTTGGATTTGATATGAATATGTAATACTAGCTGTGCCCCGCGGTGTTACCCGCGGTTTATTAGGGATATTTTCCCGCAGTAAAACGTACCCTATGTGTCAATGCAGAGTGTCGGCTAACTCCATACTAAATTTTATTAAAATCGCTCCAGCCGTTTAGACGTGAAGAAGTAACAAAGATACACACTGACACACTCACAAACTTTCGCATTTATAATATTTGTGTGATATTGTTTGAATATTTTTTTTCTTAATTAATTATATTATGTAGATTTATAAAGGACATGATTTTGAATTGTTTTGAGGTTATTTGAATTATTGCTTAATTTTATGTTTTCTGTATTGCATGCTGTGTGACAGTAAAATATGTGATACTTTATTTATACTAAATGTGTAACATAACATCAAACACAAATGTTACATCTTATGTACACCATATTTTATGCAAATAAAGACATTTGACTTCTGACTTCTGAGTTATTCAGTTGATATGGAGATTTGGACAGTTACACGACAAACAATGCTGCAAACAGTAGTTACTATAAAACATTGTATTTTTCTATGAGTCAACGTATAACGATTTGAAGAAAACCACACAATAGAAGGCGCAACAAAGGAGCTTTGGTAAACGAGAAAAAAACCGGCAAACAAACCTGTAGGTATATTTTAATAATTATTAAATAATATTTGTTATTATATGACGTAACTAAATATTTACGGTTTTCGCAATTTTTCCTTTATCTGTACTATAAGAAGTTACTTCGTAACATTTCAGGATTCTAAGTTCAAGAGAAGTACCCTGTTGGTTTTGATTCCCGTGCGAGTTTCGAAATTTTTCGGCATAAACGGCTGTATCTTTTGATTGCTTTGGCTTAGAAGTTTGATTTTTTCACAGCTCCAAGGGACAGTAGACCTGAGTATTAGATATTAATTTCAGTTTGATACCTCCACGCGTTCCTGAGAAAAACGAACGGACGGACGGACAACAAAGTGATAAGGGTTACGTTTTTTCCTTTTGAGGTACGGAACCCTAAAAATAGTTAGGTTTACCTAGACGTGATAGTTATAGACAGTTACAATAAATCAAATCACGAATGGAAAGGAGACCTTCGATTTTGGTCCAATTTTGTACCTTGGTACAAATTATCTCAAAAAACATTTAAAAGTATACTTAAAAAGACTCGCTGATCAAAATCTAATTAAATTCAATAGAAATTGCTGAAAATCTTAATTAAAATAGGGAATATGCGTATAAAGAAACGTTATTACTTTGACGCAATTTGTAAATTGACTGACAGATGACAACTAGTACTATTGGTTTAAATTCATTTCCTTGATTGTGATTGGTTGTATCAAAAACCAGGTAATTTCCGTAATAAAAAAATAAGAGGTATTACTAACGATGCTATATTATGTGTGTTGCCATTAATTAAACGACATTTTATGTCCTACAAGTGGATAATAAACTTCATTTATATTTTTGATGAATATTTACGTATTTTTCTACACATGAATGCATGATAATTCTTGGGGTACAAAATTGGCAGAGTCGTTTAGAGAAAAAAATAGAGTCTTTTGTAATTTTTAAGTTTTTAATTGATGTTTTTTAAATAAATAATATAAGACAAACTGATATTACACCGTCTCAAAGATCATCTATAAAAAAAATACATAATATAATTATTTTATTTAAGTAATACGTTATTTTTCCGCTCGTTACCGCCCACATTAGCCACCTACATAAGTGTTAAATTCTTCGACAACATGTAATCATATTTAACCTTAAATAATTATTGGGCCCTTTTATGTTTCATCACGCACGACTTAGTAAAATACGAATTCATTGGCAGTGCATTAAATATAATTGTTTTTTGACTCGAGGCTATTTTAAGGGCCGAATCTAAGGGACCTTAATTGCACTTCGTAACGACTTCATGATAATATAACGCTTTATGATTAATTAACTTTGTGCCCTTAAGCTTTAATAAAGTAATGTACGAAACATTATTGGATATTTTTTATTAGAAAATCGTTATGTTATAGATCATTATGCTGAGCTGAGAAAAACATTATGTTATTTGGGTATAAAATTAAGGTACCTATATAATTTAGTAATAATTTTAACAAAAGGAACGTAACGAATTGGTAATTAAACGAACTTACCTATATCATGGACCAGTAATTCGTAACTTGTAGAACATAAAGCATTAAACGTGATTTTTGTCGAGAGACTAATTTGTATAAATCACAGATCACTTCTATGTAATATTACTAATAATAAAAATATACTACATGTGTTGATAAGATATACTAATATCAAGGACGAATCCCGAAGTATGATTAACGGAACTTGTTGATTTAAGTTCACAATTGATTAAGATAAAATATAAATAAAAATCAAAGTATATTGTCATGTCAACTCTTCCACTAACAGGAAACCTCCAAAAGGGCCGTAGCTAGGGGATTATAGGGCCTACATAATGACTGCTGCCCTATATTAATTATACAAATCTGGCTACGACCTTGTTTCCAAAACAAGAACTGTAAAACGCAAGATCAAAGTCGACGCGAATGGCATATCTGTTCAATTGATAAAAGAAAAGCAAACAACAATGTTGCTTGAATATCTTAAAGCACCAAAAGTCCTAAAAACAGGCAGCGCTTTGTAACATGACCAAATAAAAAAAATAAATAAAAAAAAAACATAAAATTAAAACGAAACTTACCAGCAGGGACATTTCGGTGTTCTTCGGCATCATGGTGACATCACCGGGTCGCACTCCAGGCCCGCTGTAGGGAAGCGAGGGGCCCCGGTTGGGGACCCGCGGCGACTCGTGCAGTGCGAACAAGGCCGCGTGGAGTCGCGCCCGCGCAGCGCTAATGCCGCCGGCGCCCCGCACAGCCGCCTCAACTACGTCTCCTACGTCCTTCTCCCATCTGCCATCACAATATTCAGTCACAGGTGATAAAGATTGAGAACTCCACTTAATTTCGGAGTACAAAACCAGTACCTAGGCGCTTAGTGTGATTATGAAATGTCAACGTATGGTAATAAAAAGTGACACCAAATTAAGAAGGAACTATTAGTTGCTATTTTCTCGTCCAGTCGATTAAATCTTAAAAGAGTTCACTTTGGAAAGTAAAAGTCTATCTCATTTTCGATGCTTACAAACTTATTTTAGCAGTCGTTAACTCCCACCAAGCTGCACTGATTCCATACGCTCTATATATTTATATTCTTATGTAAAATATTATATGCTCTTGCTTTCTGGGTTTGAAAAAACTGACAATGACGAAATATGGCTAGAGATGATGAGGAAAGTTAGAACCATCAGGCACTCCCGGGTCACAAGCCTTGTATAATGAGAAAATATATGAAAGAGTTTATAAGGCCACGGGAAATTGGACGTAAAATATTCATTTTCTAGATACTTTAAATTTGTAAGGAGCTCGATGACTTAAGTGGTTATTGTGTTCAATCTGCGATAGCGGAAGATAAGCACTCACCAATACGCATTGGGCTCGCGTGGTGGGGCATGGGCTTATCCCTATGCCATTCTAAGAAGGTGTGTACCCCAGCAGTGGAGACTTTAATAGTATGATGATAATAATATTAAAGATAAATAATATCAACCTGCATCCTCCGAGACACGACCTGATGTCCTCCTTCAGACTCCTGGATAGGGTACAGACGGGGCTGTCGGAGTCCGACGTGGTGTGGGAGCCATCGGATTTGTCCGCGCCCGCGCACAGCTGGTCAGACAGGCGAGCTGGCACTGGGTACTGTTCGCCTTTCGGCAACGACGGCGAGACGCGACCGTGGCTACCGGCGCCACTGCCGTAGCCTAAGAATATTATAAATAGATTATATAATATCACATTGGAAGCTGAACAGCTCAAAATTTATATCCCACCAGCACCAACAGTTCAGGATTTCTTTTAGTTGTGGAAATTAACTGGTGAAAGACACTACACAATAGTAACAACACTTACAAAACCAAATCAAGGATGATAATATTTATTTATAAGGATTACATTTTTGATCAGTATATTAGCGATAAACTAAAAATTATAATAGTAATCATCATACGATTTCTAAAGATTAAAACGGTGGTAAACATGATATTATAATCAGCTTATATCGATAAATTAATACTATAGGCTGCTTCAGGACATATTATGACACCATCCCTACTAAGGAACTCTGTTAATCTTGTTCACAGCATGGATCCAGCACTACAAATTAGTGTAATTTGTCTTCAGTTACATGTAAAGTGGAGATTTCTTCCCCTAATAAACCTGGTACGTGGAATTGTCCTTCACCATAAAGTCAGCCTGTGCAATGCAGTAAGCTGATGACGATGATCAAGCATATTTGATTGAAATCTACCCTCGTTTGCTGAGTGCATTTTGCCAGATCATGCCATACCTGATGAGGTACGACGCTCTGCGCGTCATGGAGCGAGTCCACGATTATTACAACCTCTGAGCCGTGGTGAGCCGTCTGCTCGTAAGCCCCCTATAACATAAAAAAAAATAAAAAAAAAAACCTCCTTCTCCTCCGCCTCAGTGTACATTGGGTTCGATCTGGACAGTGAGAGAATGTTGCTGACATACCTGATGAGGTGGATGGTGCTCTGCGTGGCACCTTTGGGGCAGCCTTCCAGCGAGCCCTCGATTATCACTACCTTCTGCTTCTCCTCCTCTGTGTGCAGCAGAATCGATCTGAACAACGGAAAAGGTTTATGACATACCTGATGAGGTCGAGGGAGCTCTGCGCGGCACCCGCGGCTGCTCCTGTCCCTCACCCTCGGGCGCGTCGTCCAGCGAGTCCACGATTATCACTACCTCCTGCTCCTCTTCCTCTGTGTACAGCGGATTCGATCTAGACAAAAATTAAACTCAATTAATACTACTAACTCTTGTGTCAATTTAATAGGCAGAGTTTAAAAATTGTAGCAACTCCTCTAGCTTTTAACCACCTCGACAAAGCTGTCAGAACGCCAGCTCTATGGAATATTGACCTGTTAGGAATTAAACCGTACAAACAAAACCTTGTGGTAACACCACGACGGCGCTGGTGGCTAGCGCATTCGGCTGAGATCGTTGAAGTTCAGCAACTTTCGCAATAGTCGGTCACTGGATGAGTGACCAAAAATCTTCTATCTCGAGTTCCTCCGTGCTTTGGATGGCACGTTAAGCCGTTGGTTCTTGCTGCGTCTGCGTCGTTAGTAGCACCCGCCAATCCGCACTGGGCCTGCGTGGTGGGTCATGGCCTAATCTCCCTATTCCATCCATAGGGAAGGCCTGTGCCCCAGCTGTGGGGACATTAAAAGGCTGATGATGATGAACGCCATCTTAGTATAATTATTATTCTATTAACGTGAATACATCGCTAGTGCGTCACCTTACTTTAAAATTAGACCAAAAAAGAACAAACGTGCGTTGCCTTAGTAGTAGAAGGTATTCCATCAGCTGCGCGGTTATTGTCAATTTTTAATGATTTGCGTTTGACCACAATCTCACCTGTGGCCTAAGCTGGAGCACGCCATCTCAAATAATGCCTGTTTACTCCTGCCCTAAATATTCCTATATTGTATGAATCGGGGCATACAGACGCAGGAAAGGAGTTCTTTTTTTATATTGTTTCTTAAAATCTACAGACTATTAGTCCGTACCTTTTTTTGTTATATCAAATTATTTTACGTGTTTTATACAATGTGTATTTCTACATTCACCTACTCGAAAACAACAAACCTAGACTATTTTATATAAAATAAAAGATTAAACTAAAATAAGGGATTTTTTTTAGTATGTATGCTGTTGGTCGCAGATGACCTTTACAGCGTCACCGGGTTTGGGGACGGCGAGATCCTGAGGGGTATTTAAGCCGAGAATTGGCAAGTGCCTCTAGAAGTGTTCCAGGCGGATGGCATCTCCCCACGGGGGGAGTCTCCTGGAGCCTCTAGACCACTTGAACCTGGGGGGTCGGTTCAACTAGAGGGCGTCTCTGAGAGACTCGGACTTCGGCTCTAGTTAGCCGTTGTCGTGGGGGGGGGGGGGGAGGGAGTTCAATTCCCTAAAGGTTTACATGATAAAGGAAGATGTGAATTGTGAGGTACACAAATCAGGTATGTCAACTACATGAATACCCTGTCCACGTCTCGTCGTCCGCACGCTTTGTTGACGCTTCAGCGATATTTGCATGTAAAAAGTATATTATGGAAGCTATAAGCATAAGCTTTTGACTATAACTAAGTAAGTTCGCTAAAAGTTTAATTATTCTATTAAGCATACGATAAGTTAATGTTTACTTCGACGCGAGTTTTTGAAAGTATTCGAAAGTGCGAAAACTAAATAAAAAAAATATAAGTATATGGTTAAACCATTGAGTTATTATAGACCCTTATTATGTTTTTTACCCTTTGAGTTATTATATTATATACCCTTCGGGTATCTACGAAACCGTGGTGTCGTTTCCTTCATAGAAACCAGTTCCGAGGCTACGAATTCGGAGAGGGCCAAGTATACATATCTATTCAAATCATTCTTTCATCATCATCATCATCAGCCCATTAATTTCTCCACTGAAGGGGCACAGGCCTTTCCTATGGATGCAAGATTGGACCATGACCTTGTTGGGACTTAACGTGCCTTGCGACGCACATATATTTTTGGTCACCCATCCAATGATTGACTACTGCAAAAGTTGCTTAACTTCAGCGATCGCAGCCGAACGCGCGAAAAACTTGCGCCATCGAACTCTCTATTTAAAATCAATTACAACTAATAAATAGTAAGCAAAATGAAGTATTATAGTACTGTTACTCCGTTATTCCGTGATCATGGCGCTTGCAACAGTGCCGAAATATCGGAAACTCGCTAAAAACAAGGTACATGGTAACAATCCCGTAAATAACTTATATTACTATAATGTTAGTGACCATGAAAGTTTAAAACAATACAAAATGAAGTAGTTGCAATAATGCCAAATTATGCATTATGTATTCTTGTCTCTGCATTGAGAACTGGAAATGCATATCAGAAGCAACCAGTACATCTTTGACTTTTACACATATTGTGCTCAAATTTGCATATCTATTTAAAGATATAGTTTCATTCAAGATTCGTCTCACGCACGCACGCATACAACAGCCGCATTCAGAAAAATTACCACATTAGTACAAACCACAAAATATAGAGAACAGAAGGTAATCTCATGTATATACTTCATTCTGCATACCTACACTCTCAGAACATAAACGGGTTATACCCGTTTTATGTTCTAAGTGATTATTACTTGAAAACATTTCATATATAATAAAACACAATGAAATGTTTTCAACCGTAAACAACTGCTGTTTATAGGTGATTAGCGAAAAAAGCGGTTGTTATCGGCTGGCCGAGACCGATAACAACTGCCTTTACATTTGTAGTCCCGACTGTCCGCGAGTAATTAATGTCTATGTGTGCGTTGCTCGAGCGCATTTTGTATGTAGATTACCTTCTGCTCTATCTATTTTGTGTATAAACTGTAGCAGTCATTCCCGCCTACGTATGTGTGTTCGTATTTGGCAAACATTTTGTTGGTTTGTCATTATCGTTCTTTACTTTCAGGGTATTCTGTATTGAGCTACGTAAATTTTCTCTCGATTAATCGAAATAAAAAATAAATAACTACGTAAATACTGGCTGTTTATGTGCGCTGCTCTGAGTAAGAATTTCAAAAGAGTTTTTTTATACATCGTGAATTTTGCGTTACTTAAAAAACTCGTATAAATAAAAATTGTAAGACAGTTATAAACTACAAAATATCCTATAAACGGCGCAAATTTATAAGTAACTTGTACGTAATATGGAGTTAAATATCCGTTTAAAGTAGGTAGATTCTGAAAGTAGTTCTTTTTTGCGGAAATACTACCTAGATTGTTGTCTTAATTCGCTAGTAAAGTTTTTCAGGTAACTCAAATTCACGGTGTGTACATAACTTGGTCTCAAATCAAAACACTTAAGTGTCTCACAGGCCTATTCTCTTGCTATGAAGCGAGTGTTTAAACACAACCGACAAATAAGGGCAAGCTGTGGCCCCAAACCGCCTCTGCCCCTTTAAACCCCTTTAAATTTCTAACTCAAACACTTAGTAGAATAACGATTGAATGATTTTGACAGTTTGTAGTTTACCCTAGAACATCAAACAACATCAGATGGGGTGCGCTATTTGATATTAAAGTTCGAACTAAGAAAGACAAAAATCTAGATAGAATCTAGTAGCGACAGAAAGAATAATAAAATCTAAAATATAAAATTCTCGTGTCACGGTATGCGTAATTGAACTACTCCGAAACGGTTCGACCGAATTTGGTGAAATTTTATATGCATATTTTGTAGGTCTGAGAATCGGACAATATCTATTTTTCATCCCCCTAAATGTAAAGAGTGGTCCATCCACCCTTAAATATTTTTATTGACATTTTTTTTTGTTTTTATATTTTTATGATACATCTTACAAAAGTTTTCACCCTTCTACCACCAACCCCTACGGCGGTACAAAGTTCGCTGGGACAGCTTGTATCAATATTTTTTTGTAAATCGGTGGAGGAGTGATGAGATGTAAAGATAGCTGACACACCACTTTTATGAGCTACATAGAAAGATTACTCGAACACGTAGTCTTCGAACATAGACTTGTTAAGAATAACAAGACGTGTTATAGGAACTAAACACACACTCCATTCGCAAATAAATCGCAAAGAATTCCATTAACGATAGGAAGACAAAGAAATGAGTCACACAATCTTTTTATGCGCGTAAGCTAATACCCAAAGTCGACGACCGTGTGCGCTTGCGCGTGGTCCTATAAAGGCAAAGTGGAATTAAGGAAATAGCTACTCAAAAATCTCAAAACATGGTAAAGGATTAAAAACACATTTAGGTAATTGCGTTCCAATATGTAAATATTCTAACGATAAAGGATTGCGAAGCAAATGACTCCGGACCACTGTCGGCATTAGGTCGAGCGCGCGGAGCGAGTGAAGCGAGGGCGGGCGCGTACCCTATGTCTGTGGGTATAGGGACAAGGCTCGGTACCTGAGCAGCGCGGGCGGCATGAGGTCGAGCGTGCGCGCACCCTATATCTGTGGGTATAGGGACAAGGCTCGGTACCTGAGCAGCGCGGGCGGCATGAGGTCGAGCGTGCGCGCACCCTATATCTGTGGGTATAGGGACAAGGCTCGGTACCTGAGCAGCGCGGGCGGCATGAGGTCGAGCGTGCGCGCACCCTATATCTGTGGGTATAGGGACAAGGCTCGGTACCTGAGCAGCGCGGGCGGCATGAGGTCGAGCGTGCGCGCACCCTATATCTGTGGGTATAGGGACAAGGCTCGGTACCTGAGCAGCGCGGGCGGCATGAGGTCGAGCGTGCGCGCACCCTATATCTGTGGGTATAGGGACAAGGCTCGGTACCTGAGCAGCGCGGGCGGCATGAGGTCGAGCGTGCGCGCACCCTATATCTGTGGGTATAGGGACAAGGCTCGGTACCTGAGCAGCGCGGGCGGCATGAGGTCGAGCGTGCGCGCACCCTATATCTGTGGGTATAGGGACAAGGCTCGGTACCTGAGCAGCGCGGGCGGCATGAGGTCGAGCGTGCGCGCACCCTATATCTGTGGGTATAGGGACAAGGCTCGGTACCTGAGCAGCGCGGGCGGCATGAGGTCGAGCGTGCGCGCACCCTATATCTGTGGGTATAGGGACAAGGCTCGGTACCTGAGCAGCGCGGGCGGCATGAGGTCGAGCGTGCGCGCACCCTATATCTGTGGGTATAGGGACAAGGCTCGGTACCTGAGCAGCGCGGGCGGCATGAGGTCGAGCGTGCGCGCACCCTATATCTGTGGGTATAGGGACAAGGCTCGGTACCTGAGCAGCGCGGGCGGCATGAGGTCGAGCGTGCGCGCACCCTATATCTGTGGGTATAGGGACAAGGCTCGGTACCTGAGCAGCGCGGGCGGCATGAGGTCGAGCGTGCGCGCACCCTATATCTGTGGGTATAGGGACAAGGCTCGGTACCTGAGCAGCGCGGGCGGCATGAGGTCGAGCGTGCGCGCACCCTATATCTGTGGGTATAGGGACAAGGCTCGGTACCTGAGCAGCGCGGGCGGCATGAGGTCGAGCGTGCGCGCACCCTATATCTGTGGGTATAGGGACAAGGCTCGGTACCTGAGCAGCGCGGGCGGCATGAGGTCGAGCGTGCGCGCACCCTATATCTGTGGGTATAGGGACAAGGCTCGGTACCTGAGCAGCGCGGGCGGCATGAGGTCGAGCGTGCGCGCACCCTATATCTGTGGGTATAGGGACAAGGCTCGGTACCTGAGCAGCGCGGGCGGCATGAGGTCGAGCGTGCGCGCACCCTATATCTGTGGGTATAGGGACAAGGCTCGGTACCTGAGCAGCGCGGGCGGCATGAGGTCGAGCGTGCGCGCACCCTATATCTGTGGGTATAGGGACAAGGCTCGGTACCTGAGCAGCGCGGGCGGCATGAGGTCGAGCGTGCGGCACCCTATATCTGTGGGTATAGGGACAAGGCTCGGTACCTGAGCAGCGCGGGCGGCATGAGGTCGAGCGTGCGCGCACCCTATATCTGTGAGTATAGGGACAAGGCTCGGTACCTGAGCAGCGCGGGCGGCATGAGGTCGAGCGTGCGCACACCCTATATCTGTGGGTATAGGGACAAGGCTCGGTACCTGAGCAGCGCGGGCGGCATGAGGTCGAGCGTGCGCGCACCCTATATCTGTGGGTATAGGGACAAGGCTCGGTACCTGAGCAGCGCGGGCGGCATGAGGTCTAGCGTGCGTGCACCCTATATCTGTGGGTATAGGGACAAGGCTCGGTACCTGAGCAGCGCGGGCGGCATGAGGTCGAGCGTGCGCGCACCCTATATCTGTGGATATAGGGACAAGGCTCGGTACCTGAGCAGCGGGGGCGGCATGAGGTCGAGCGCGCGGAGCGGGTGAAGCGTGGACGCGTGCACCCTATATCTGTGGGTATAGGTACGAGGCTCGGTACCTGAGCAGCGGGGGTGGCATGAGGTCGAGTGCGCGGAGCGGGTGAGGCGAGGGCGGACGCGCGGGCGTGGGCGGTGCGCGGCGGCCGTCGCACACGCACCCCGCCGCCGCGTCGCACTCGCGTCTCCCTCCACCCTGCAATATACAAAATTCAGCATAATAAATTTATTAAACATTGAGATGGTTCTTAGCTTTATTTTATGAAGATCTATCCAGAGGTCAGGGATCATCAACTTGTTTCCCATTTGAGAAAAGGATCTTACAAATATCACAGTTACTAAGTTTTGGCTAGGGTGCACTTTTACTTTGGTGGTATTTCTGGGACGTGACCAAGCAAATGCTTAGAGAGTCAAATATCGTCGATCTCATCAGCAGAAGCCTTAGAAGCCCTTATAGCCAGTGGCATCCCCTTAAAGATGTGTTTCAATCAAATAAGCAAATAAGTTTGTGGAGTTTATCAGTTGAGGTTTTTCCTCGTTTAAAGCCGCGTATCCACTAGAGGCAGCCTCGGGTCGAGCGGCTGCCTCACTCCGAGGCTGCGCAAGTAGAGACGCTGCCAGAGGCACGCCGCGACGCGAGGCAAATTCGTCGCCGCGAGCCGAGCCATATTTTGTCGGTTTCTGTGCTGTGCTCAAAGGCGCCTCAGTCCGAGCCGTGTGTTTTTTAATGGAGACGTTTTGGCTTTTAACTGCGCAGTGCGCCGCCGGCGGATCAAGCTGAGGCGACACGCCTCAAGCTGATCCGTAGCCGTTGCCTCAGAGCGAGGAGCCTTAAACTGAGGCTATTTGCTTCAAGTTGAGGCCGCTCGACGCGAGGCTGCCTCTAGTGGATACGCGGCTTAACAAAGTCCGTGACACAGGCGGTTGACCAAAATAATTCGACGATTCAAAAGAGTTTCATCTCCAAGCTTCCAATCTAAATAAAAAAAATACAATTTGTCGACAGCAAACAAACTTACACGAAATTTGAGAGATCCTGTGAGAATATTTCTAAATCGCCGTTAGAATATGTAGAGTAATCTAAAAAACTGCGCCAACAGCAGAAAGATGTTGCTTTCAATTAACCAAGAAAATATTTGTAGCAAATGCTGTTTCTAAAAACACTCGCCTAACTATAAACTGTTGCAGACTGGTCTGAGAATGTGGCTGGGCTGGTGTCGCAAGAGACGTCTGCCCGTTCGGGCCTTATTTACCTCTGCCCCTTGTTGCGAAACCTCTAAGGCCGATGGTCGGCTACTAAATAGTAGTTTTGTTCCACTAATTATGTGCTCATTACGCTTTGCCTTTCCAATGTTAGGCTAAAAGTTATTCGAACTTGGCAAGACATCTATATGTACCTACAAACCTATTGATAAACTGTTAAAATAGTCTCCTTAATATCATAGTTCTCATAAAAATGGATTAATTTGCAGATGTAAAAATTAAGAAAGTTGGTACTTAGGTACTACGGGAATGAGTGGTTTGATATGAGCTCGTGAACCAACTACATACACATGTGGCGGGGACAAATTTTTCGGAACATGTACCTTTGGCACAACTGTTTGTGTAATGCGGTTGGTACATGGGTGCTACGAGAATATGGCATTCCAGATGGGTGCTTAGTTTGTGAATTTGAGGTGCACATTCCAAGTTATTCGAACACTTTTTGATAAAAATAATTATTTCTTATTTTCCTCATTACATTCAAACTTAAGAACCAAATAATATGAGGAAGGCAGGATGCCAAACTTAGGACTAGAACCCGTGCTAAAAAACTCCCCTCGCGACATTATAATGTTAGAGGGGAGTTGAGGAGCTCAATGGCGCAGATGTATAGCGTTTGGATCGTGGTTCAGCAAATTTCGCAATGGTCAGTCATTGGATGCCCAAAACTTATTATCTCGAGCTCCTCTGTGCTTCGGAAGTCATGTAAAGCCGTTGGTCCCGGCTGCATCTGCAATCATTAGCACGTACAAATTCGCACTGGGCCCGCGAACAACCATTGGAGACATTAATGGGCTGGTGGTGATGACGATGATGATGGTGAAGGGCGCTGAACCAAATTCATGATACATTATACCTAGGTTGATATAATGAAGTTAAATAAAGAACGTGTGCAGTTGCAGTTACAGACCGAAGACAAAGTACTTATTCTTCGCTCCAGCAGGAATCTAATCTGGAATCTTAATACAACCCTGTCCGGAAATCGTGAAGGAGCATCTTCGAATTATCGCAATTACTCCCAGCCAAGGCCCGCGATGAGGCAACACTTGATAGCCGCAATTAAACATACATACAGATTGCATTATATAAACATCAACAAAGGCTTTGTTTCAAGCTCCCGATTGTATCTCTAGACTGATTTGAATAATATATCGTTGTGGTTGTGGTTTGTCCATCATGACTTGTATGTACCTACGGAGGTGACTCTTTACTCGATCTTTGATTGGAGTCGTCTTCTTGAATGTTTGCAAAAAATACAAAGGAGAGTTAAATGAGGTTTAGTTTATTCTATGAATAAAAAACTTTTTGGAGAAAGAAGATGAAAAGGTTATTCTTGGAGCTGATAACTTTTCGATTAAAGTGAAATCCTTTTGACGGACCAAATAATATTAAAAAAACTACCGGCCTTTCACTATTGTGTCCGGACTTTATCTTAGGCCAAGTCAATGTCAAATTTAAGTCGTAGAGAATAGGACAGGTAGGGCATGGCGGATTTTCTGCTCGAATTGGAGCGCCCGCCTGAGTATAAATAAATAAATAATTCAGAAGTATAAATAAATAAATAATTCCAACACTCACACACACCAATTAGGCTAGCCCCAAAGCAAGCACTGTAAAGCTTGTGTTATGGGATACTAGGGTAACGGATAGAATACATATATTGTACAGGTACATATAAGTATATTTATATAGAAATACATATTTAACATCCATGACTGGAGTACAAATGCTCGTATTCGTCACACAAACATCTGCCCCCACTGGGATTCGAACCATCCCGCTTCGAATCCCAGTGGGGGTCTAGTCGGCGACACCATGAAACCCGGCGTACAAACCACTCGGCCACGGAGGTCGTCAATAACCTCCACCTTACAGAAGATCACAGTAAAGTACTGGACCTTTTGATGATGTTGTATATCTGTCGAGTTAGGTTCCAAGGCTCCACGGAGTAGGGGATTTGGTCAGGGTAGGCAACGGCGCGAGTAATATTTTTAGTATCGCAAGCGTCTATAGGCTGTGGTTGCCGCTTACCTTAAAGCGGCCCTTAGTGCGCGAGCACACGATGCGTTGTGGCGCCGCACCGCAAAGATTTCGCCGCATCGGTGGGCACACGAGCGGGCAACCCAGCAGCATACATTCTCTATGACGCATAAACAACTGAGCGGTGCAGCTCCGACGTCGCAACGCAGTCACCCCTCCCCGCCTCGTCTCGGTGGTTGCAAGTCCGGTGCGGCGCCGAAGCGCATCGTGTGACATACCACAGATATATCTATGTAAGACGACGCAGCGACACCGCTCCGGCGCCGCACCGCCGCCGCAACGCATCGTGTGCTCCCGCTCATACCCTTGTTTGCCACCCTTTTAACATAAAAAAATGTGCCGACGTAGTTATGTCTCATGCTGCTGCAAGTTTACTAATTTCGCATTTATAATTTACAATTATTATTAATTTTTTATAAACATAATTATTTTTACCTCCATCCGTTTAGATCTCTTTTGTTTCCGGTTTCCGACCTTATATTATCATGCTTCTCCGAGTTCATTTCCTCTTTTTTAGCACTATTTCACGGAGCCGACTTTAAAGATAAAAAAAAACACTCATTAAAAAAGCTTATTACAAAGTGTTATATTACAGACAAAAATACTTGGGTTTGAACTGTTCCAATCATTCCAACAGATTTTCTATATTAAATAAATCATGATTGTATTGACGTTGTAACAACACAATGACTTGTAAATGTTGTTAAATTATACTTTTAATGTTGTGGAGTTTTTTCGCTCGTTTTTCTCCGTAGCTAAAAAATATGTCCAATAACGAGTGGTAGAGACAAAAAAATGTTTGCACGATTCAAAAGTGTTGTACTATACATCCAATTTGAATAAAGATATATTGATTTTTCTGATTTCTGATATGTAACGTTTAAAACGCTGTCAATTAGCAGTTATAATAATTTGTCGCGGGCTCTGCGCCGACGCACATAGCGTATCGGCCCAGTTTCGTGTGACCCGTGCTCACAATGTTGAGTAACATTAACACTTGCGGTTTATGTGTTCAAGAACTTAAATTGAAAAGTGACTTTGCTAACAAGCAATACCATAAGAATTGTACATAGCGTTTGCATAGCGTGATCAATACTTTTCTTTAAACACACACTTTTAACGCCGTGCTGTGTGAAGAAAAGCACGCTAGAAAGACTGTGCTAGGTGTCGCTCTGTTCGCTCCTCCATATACACACCTTTCGCTATAGAAGAAAAGTTCAAAAGGTTGAAAGGTAGTATTGCAACCATGGAAATATTTATACGTTTTATTTATTTCGTTTGTCACACATAGGTGTCGTATTGTTCTATAACAATTACTTAGTGTCACAATTTATTATTACATGAAAATAAAACAAATAGGTATAACAAGTCTGTATGAATTATTTTTTAAGATGCATACAGCAATTTCTATACATTTACTGGTATAACATTGATATTTATTTGAGGTGAGATTTATTGTTACTTAATCACATAGTTCATTCAAGTCCAAATTCCAGAAGTATTTTCAGGATATTCAAAAGCATTTTGAAAATTAATTATAATTGCTATTTCTTCTTTCAAATGTTTAATAATTGTAAAGGTATTCATTTGATTTTGTGGGTTATCTACAATCCGAAGAGATGGCACTGCCTTGCAGCTTAAGAAAAAGTAGAAAGAATTCGGCACGGCCATCAGGGCTGCGGTAGCATAATGGTCAGTGCATCCGCCCGGAAA